AAAGGCTTCCAGTACAAGATGGTTTGACAAGGGACTCGCCAACACCAGCCCGAGCACCCTGGCTTCAGCCAAGATGACGGTTACTAGCGCCGTCCGGGGCCAGCACGGATTCGGTAGTGAGGGTCAGTGTGTGCCCAGGGGCAAAGGAGGAGCAATGAGCCTGGGTGGGACACGGGCGCTCCTAAAAGCAGAGCATTAAAAGGAGGTAATGCACACTCAGGGTCACTAACCTCTGACTCACGACCAAGAGGAGGGCCAACTGTGCAATGTCACCTTCAGAGGCTCCTCCTGGTCTGTGGGAGACTTCTCCGTGACAGAGGGAGAGAGCGGCTTCTGGGGAAGACGAAGGTGGAGGGCTGAGGGGCTCCATGACCCCCACATCAGCTTGGGGCCCCTGAGTGCCTGTCCTCCGTGCAGGCCTGGTGGGGCTGAGGGGAGAGAGAGGGGGCCCCCCACCACTCACCTGCTCTCATCTTCGATTTTGAGGAACGGTGCCTTCAGCCTGGCCACTGGAAAGGAAACGCGCACACATGAGCCATCTGTCGGCTCCTGTGCAGGGCCCGCACCACACGCGCAGGAAACGCTCAGAGAGGCGAGGCTCTGCCGAGGTCTAAGAGCCACGCGGAACCAGAGCCCACACCACCCCGAAGTGCGCCTTTCCGTTTGGCTGAGGTCAGGCACCCACCCCCATCTCCTCTGGCCTCTACCCAGGGTGCGAGAGGGAGGTCCCCTACTGGGGAGAGGCCGCAGGGTGCCATCCACCCCACAGCAGGGCACAGGACCCTGCCGTGTGTGGGTTCTGGAGGCCGTCAGCCGAGGGTTAGAAACCTGCCCACAGGGCAGAACTCAGCCCCAGCTCGTTTCCGCTAAATGCCTTCGGTCCTTCCCTGACCTTCCCTCCTGCTGTCTCAGAATCCCGAGGGGCCTGAGAACACTCCCAGGAGGTACACTCCAGGAGAATCCTGGGCTTTTTGCGGGAAAGCAGGGAGGAAGAGAGCTGAAGAGTGTTTACGGATCGTAGCAGGAGGGCAGTTAAAAAAAAAATACCAAAGGTGAAATCTGGATCCTGGATAACAGGGCAAAGGGCTGCTGGGAAGACGAACTTGCTCAGTTAATCAAGAAATTCATCCGCTATGAACTAGTTATTCACACAGTTTACAAGATCTCTTAGGTATTAAGAACCATTTCTACTTCCCACAGAAGGCCTGTCAGAAGGGCAGCCAAAGGGGAGGGGGTGGAAGGATGGGTTAGTCTGGTGATGGGTATTAAAGAGGGCATGTTCTGCATGGAGCACTGGGTGTTATGCACAAACAATGAATCACAGAACACTACATCAAAAACTAATGATGTAAGTAAGGTATGGTGATTAACATAACAATAATTTTTTTTTTTTTTTAAAAAGGGAGCATAAACTCTATTTAGTGATCAGGAAGCTTCCATAAAGGACGTGCCCTGTCTCCAGAAGGCATCTTTAGGAGGAAGTAATAGGTGGTATAACCATTTTTCTGTGCTTGATGCCAGCCATCTTCTGCTTCCCTGTTGATTGACTCCCAGGGTAGAGGAGGAAAAAATGTGGTTTTCTAACCTAGGCTAGTTTTCTTGGCAGTATACTCTGAACTTTTAAGGTAATAGGAAATAAAAACACAAATACTGGATGCTTTGAAAAAAAAAAGAAGGGCAGCCAAGGCAGGCTGGGAGCCCCGGGTGGCCCCAGCAGCCCCTGGACAACCCCCCCAACCACCCCGCCCCCCCGAGGCTGGCGCCTCCCCCCTCAGACCCGCCCACGGCTCCGCCAGCGCCCAAGCAAAAAGCAGCCTCGCTCCTCGCAAGGCATCAGCCCCCATTAATTACTTTTTGGGGGCGATTTCTTGTCTTTCTAATTAACTGAGACAGTGATTAAAATCAATTCCCCCACAGATTTCCTTGAATTTTGAACACGAGAGGTGCCAAGTGACTTTTCTTAGCTCCTGCTTGTGCACGAATAAATGCCACTTAAAGAGCATCTTTGGGAGAAACATCCAGGGGGAGAAACTCTCTTGCGGTCCAAGAGGGGCCGGGAGCCAGGCTGTCAATCTGCCGGTTTGTCAATTTCAGGGAGTCTGGCATTTGGGAGAGTGGTAGGCAGCTGTCACACTGCCCACCCCAAACCGCTCCTGAATCAGAGGAAAAGGAAGGCAAACTTCACTCAGTGCCCAGGAAGTGGCAGCGGCCGCATGAGCTCTTGGCACGAAGGAAAAGCTCCGGCCGGGCAGCTCTGGGCTTGCTTACCGATACCCTCCTCCCGCCCTCTCGTCTCCAAAGCTCAGGCCCTGCAAACACAACAGGGCAACACAACCTGGACTCACTTCCTGCCGAAGAAAAGCGAGCAGATGCTGCCACAGAGGGAGCCGTGGGGAAGCGTTTAGGAGGGAGGGACTGCAATTAGATGAGCAGAGCTACGACACTGACCTTTTCGCGTTCTTGACTCTGCTGGACATGTTCCCTAAATGGAAAGGGAAAATAGGTTAAGGATTCGAGGAAGCTAGAGGGTCGAGGAAGCGGGCCTGGGGAGGCGAGTCGCTGTGAGTCTGCCCCACTTCGCTTCCTGCGGTCGGCTGGGCCCTGAGCAAGGGCAGACCTGACACAATGGCTCCCTCTGCCTCCCCAGGGACGCGATGGGTGGCGAGCCCTGTGTGCGCATCTCAGTGGCAGCTGACTTTGTGGAGGGAACGCAGGGCACAGCGAAGAGCAAGAGCTCCAGGGCCCCCGGGCCTGGGTGCAGGCTGACGCTGTGCCGCCTGGACTGTGAGCGGCACCCACCCGCCTCGCCGACATAGCCACGATGTACAGACAAATGCAAAGGGAGGAGGTAATAGACCTGACGCACAGCAGGTGCCCAGACACCTTGCATTTTCTAGGCACTGCTGCCGTTCCAGGTCAGCTTACAGGACAAGCGTGAAGAGCACGCCTCTCGCTTTCCTGTGCCCTGTGTTGTGTATTTGGACCCCGTTGGTCAAAACCAATGTTTAGGTTAAGGTCAAACAAAGCTAGTATTACAAACTAAATGGAAAAAAATAAGAAATCAGGTAGAGTTCGGGGAGGGGGGTGGCAGAGATCCAGTGGGTCCATGACTATGTGTACCCCTGGGCCCACAGAGGTTCTGGATTCTCCTCCAGGCCACACCTCCAGGGCCAACATCACCCAAAGCAGCTTTCCCTATCTCCTTGCATATCAGCAGACTGCACCCAGAACTCACTCTGGAAGACCCCTAAGTACCTATAAAATAGATTATTAAGTGAACAAAGCAAAGTAAAAATACCGTGCATTTGCGTAAAAGGGAGGAACTTCTGACCCATCTGCTCATATATGCATGGACCCTGGGAGGATACCTGAGAAACTGTTCATACTGCTTATCTCAGGGAGGGAGCTTGGTTGCTGGGGAAGAGAAGAAGTTGCAGGGGAGAGAGACTTTCATTGTACAGCCTTTTGAATGGTGAATAATGCAAATCTAGTTAACAGCAGCAGCAGAAACCCAAAGACTCCCAGACCAGAGGGTGCGGAGCAAGGGGGCTCCATGTGGTAGAGCGGTTCGCTCCCATGGTTGGTCCTGCTCCTGGGTGCCAGGCCCTCAGTGGACCTGGAAGGCTTAATCCTTCCTTAGATTCAGGCTGGGTGGATACCGTGGCTTGAAAAATCAGCCTGGGCTCTCTTGATGTATGGTACACACAGTTCTAACTCCAGCAAAGGAAGGAAAAGCCAAGTAAGAATTTGGAAGGTGACAGCTCTTTTAAACCGCAACATCCTCTGCCCCCACCGATGCAATCTGCAGGCTCATTCCTGGGCCAAGAGCTGGCCCCAGAACGGCAGCCTGGCCAGCAGGCTGTGAACACTGCTGTTTTATCTAGGCCAGGACTACCCACAGGCAGTCCACGGCCCAGGCCACGGTGCATGCCTCAGTGGACCACGGGAGATTTGCAGGGAGCACAGGAGGAGAGGACAAGGCAATGAGAGGCTGTGGACACAAGGGCCGTGCTGATGACGGAGAGGCTGCACTCCTCGTACTTTCTCCAGGATGGCCAATTAGACATGGCTCGCCTGGGTCGGGGATTTACCGAAGCTGTCACAGACTTCACCACTGCAGACTGTCCATTTCCCTTCAGTTCAGCAGGACGACCCACCTCTGGCTTCTTCTTTGGCCCTTGTTTCTTCACACACACAGTATCAAGAGACAGCTGCTGCACGTGCATCAGCATTTCTGTGGAGGAAACAGAGGGCTGTGGCCAAAGGCTCCCACTCCTCCTCTCCCCGGCACGGCCCCTTCCTGGGGCTGGGGGCTCAACTTCTCACGGACCTGGCCCACTGGATCACACCAGCCTTGCCTGCCACCTTCTGGCTATGTGTCACCTCTGCACCTGCTGATAATAAAGAAAGGGCTGGGTCCTCTATCCTTGGAGAAGTACGTAAGCTGGCTTCACGCTATTTTGTGGCACTGAGTACAACTCTCAAACAGCAGCTGCCTTACGGCTCTCAAGGGCTTTATGGTACCACTGAAGAGCTGCTCCCGAGGGGGGACACCAGCCATGTGATTTACTCAGACGCAGCCTTAGATGCAAGGCCCAGCAGGAGCTTCCCTAATACACAGGAAGGCAGGAAATTAGACCACGTCAGAAACGGCTGATTTTCCAGTGACGACGGAGCCTCCCACATCCCAGGCCAGGACCTTCCTGAGCGCAGTTCTCAAATGCCCTCACAGATCTCAGGCTGGATCTGGATCAGCCCCCTACACTGTTATTAGGAGAAAACCCTAGACTCAGAGTGGAGCTGGGTATGAGGGCCAGTCACTGCCGCCAATTCAGGACAGCTCTTCTAATGTAAATTTATGACAACCTGCAAATAGGTGGTTACAGTGTGAGACAACCCTACATAAAAGAAAGAACATGAAAAAAAAATTTTTTTAAAGATTCTATTTTTGGGGCACCTGGCTGGCTTGGTCAGTGGAGCACGCGACTCTTGATCTTGGAGTTGTAAGTTCAAGCCCCACACTGGGTGCAGAGATTTCTTAAAATAAAATCTTTTAAAAATAAAATAAAAAAAAAAAAGAAAGCTCGTCTCCACTCTTGCCTATGCTGCCAGGGGTGCCCCAACATGTGTACGCCCCCCCATAAGTGACGTGTGCCAGCCACATGCAGGGCGACGCTGGGGCACTGGCATGTGTACGAGCCAGGACCACTGTGTTTAACTGGTAGTGAAGGGGCTGGGGTGGAGGACGTGCACCCCGTCACCCCACTGGAACTGGAGAACAGAGTACCTCGTTATCTCCCTGCGTCCCCTCCACTCATTTCTGGGCCACCAAAGCCAAGTCTCTCCTGTGTTCAGGCGCCAAGAAGGAAACCTAGGTCCACCTGGAGGACAGGCAGGCACGCCAGGCTTCCGGCATTGGGCCTTTCAGCTGCCCTGCCTGAGGCTAAAGGACCCAGAAAGCTCTGGTCCCAGGAGTCACGCTGGGTTCACATGAGCTGCTTCTTTAAAAACAAAACAAAACAAAGCCCAAACCCAAAACCAACTTTTAATTTTGAGGTCACTATAGATTCACAGTTTTTGAACTAGTACTTACTGAAGAGTCAGTGATAACCAAGGTGACTAACAGCTCATAGGTTATCACCCATGTGCCCCTCCTGCTCTAGAAAGAAGGGGCCCTACTGGGGGACAGACAGGGCAGAGCGGGGAGGACACCAGGCAGGCCAGGCAGGACACCTGGATTCTGGCTTTGGGCTGAGCTTCATGGGCAACATGGCTGTATACAAGTCCCTTAATTTCTCTGACCTCAGTTTCCCCACTAGGAAAAGGATGGGCTCTCCTCATGCCAGTCTTTCCCAGGCCCTCACGAGATAACAGGTGTCAGCAAAGGGTTTTGCACAGCCAAACAGAAAGGCTTCCAGTAGGGGCGCCTGGGTGGCTCAGT